AAGCAGAGAGAGAGAGAGAGAGAGAGAGCGGAAACAATCCGGAGAGCCGAAGAAGAAAAGAGAAATAAATGACGGCGAAACTACCGAAATAAAGAATAGAAACTGACAAAGTTTTTATAACTGATTAGAAAAAAATATTGTGGACCGAGAAGCAGGGAAACTAGGAAAAGGTAATATTAAGGAGGAAAAGGGGGGTGAATATCCACTTTTGGCAAACAAACAAAAATATGCTATTAGTGCTTTAATGATATCGTTGGAAAATACTTTGGGGATTTCACATGAATTTTATAACATTGAAGGTGAACGTTTTTATGCAATAAAGCCAATGAAAGAATATCAGGAGGGCAAAAGTCTGGCCGAATTAAGAGAAAATTGACAATACAACTATTGTAAACCCGGACAATTCCCAAGATTAGATGCTGAATTTGAAAAATTATTTGAGGAGTGAAAATTATATATGGATAATTTGCCGTAGGCTAAAAAAAGAATGCTAAACTTTTTATCTAGTGCATCCTTCAAAAGTATAAAATATAAATATATATCAATTTCCCAAAGATAAATAATTCTAATTACTTATTTTTCGAAAGTTGACTTCAAATGTTGGACTTTGCTAGCGAGTGCTAGGGACCTGTTTTGCTTTGGTCCCACCATCATCTATTCAGGTATAATTTGTGATGATGCGGTCGGTTAAGAAGCACCACTTCCTAACTTCCCATATTTTACTTTCAGTGATATTCCTATGAATGAGTACTCATTGGAGACGGCTTGGTGAAAACCTCCCCAAAATAAACAACTACTAAGGGGTATTTTTTTTGTAATTATCTATTTTGGAATGATAGTTCTTTTTAAAGAACTAAATTTCTTATGTATATAAAAAAACCTGTTAGGAAGAAGTTTTAAAAAAAGCAAAAAAATTTCCTTCCTTGCCTTAAAAATGGTGGAAGCGATTGCTATGATTGTAGTTTAAGCAATATACTATTCGTGTTAATAACTTAGACCCCA